TATTTGGACGAAGATCTGATTTTTTTCGATTTTTTGGGCATTTGGAAATCTTTAGATTTTGAGTTCGAACTCTCCGTGGATTGAGCATGGCGCAAAGGCATGAGTGCCATCTTGTAGAGCTTGCTTTGCTCTATCCAATGGTACTTTGAAGCCTATATAAGAATGAAAAGTGTATGACTTATTGCGGTTGAAATTCAAAACGTGCATTAATTATGAATCAACCTAATATATATATATTAGGTGGGTCACAAAGTTCTGCATTCGATGCAGCTTTTCCTTCTCTTTCTTATGTATGCACTTACATACTATAATGTTATATGCCTTCTTTGGTAATTGCCGAAATTCTCCACCTGTCAATTTTACCTGCTCAAAGTTGCGCTAATTTTTAAAATTTCGTTACAAAGTTTCGGAAAGGACTAAGCACGGATAAAATAGAGCAGCTCTCGGGCTACAAGATGGTGTTTTTAGATTCTTCTAATTTGCTGATTTTGACTTCAAAAAATTATTTCTTCTGAGGTCTCGATTTTTGGCTAAGTCATGAAACGCGCAATTGCAGCAAAAGCATGAAAGCTTTTGAAGTTTTTGCGAATTCAAACTTGACTGTTATTAAACATAATTTATGCAACATAACCAAGTTTGATTTGCTTCAAAAATCAGCTTTTTGGAATTTTCGGTAATTTTACGTGGTATACGTGTTCAAAAAGCCGCGGTTTTTCTCAAATAAATAATTATTACGGACTTGATAAACGTGGCCTACGTAATCTAAAATAGCCACAATGTAGCCAAAGGTTTGCTCTACATAACAGTCACCAGCGCTCCTTAGAAGTGTCAAAAAAGAAATTTTCAAAATTCAGGAAGTTTTGGCGTTACTGCTGAGGTGCTCAAAAAGCCATGGCGATAACATCGCAAAGACGGAGTATATCAGGGATCAAACATAGCTGTAAGAAAGAGGATAAAAATGTGAATAGAATGACACCTAGGCCGTTCATGGAATGGTGTTCTGTGAGGTTTGGTGAGCGATGAAAAAAAACCGACAAAACTTTCGGGACAACCTGATATATATATATATATATATATATATATATATATATATATTAGGTTGAACCGAAAGTTCTGTCCCTCCATCTTCAAAAAATCATAACTTCTTTCCGTCACGATGATTTCGCGCATTTCAAATTTTATTAGAAAGAGTAAAGCATGTAGTTTCCAAAAGTCCCTTGGAGACTTTCCAACATGCTCAGGTTGCAGAGATAAAAATGAAAGAACGAGATCATCCGAAATTCGGAATTTTTAAGCAAAAATTCTAACAATTCAGAAACTGTGCGATAAAATCCAGAACAGCCATTATCCTAAGTTTTCTTATATTTTATCACTAACTGAGTTAAGTTTGTGCTGATCGAGCTCTTTTTTCAGAAGTTATGATTTTTTTTAAAAAAATGCCGAAAAATCAATTTCCTAGGAATTCTTAAGAAATCGATATTTTCGGCATTTTTTTTTAAAAAAATCATAACTTTTGAAAAAAGAGCTCGATCAGCACAAACTTAACTCAGTTAGTGATAAAATATAAGAAAACTTAGGATAATGGCTGTTCTGGATTTTATCGCACAGTTTCTGAATTGTTAGAATTTTTGCTTAAAAATTCCGAATTTCGGATGATCTCGTTCTTTCATTTTTATCTCTGCAACCTGAGCATGTTGGAAAGTCTCCAGGGGACTTTTGGAAACTACATGCTTTACTCTTTCTAATAAAATTTGAAATGCGCGAAATCATCGTGACGGAAAGAAGTTATGATTTTTTGAAGATGGAGGGACAGAACTTTCGGTTCAACCTAATATATATATATATATATATATACATATATATATATATATATATATATATATATATATATATATATATATATATATATATATATATATATATATATATATATATATATATATATATATATATATATATATATATGTATATATATTAGGTTGGTCCGAAAGTTCGTTCGCACCATTTTCAAAAAATCATAACTTCCTTTCCTCACAATGATTTTGCGCAATTCAAATTTTATTAGAAAGTGCAAAGCATGTAGTTTTCAATGGTCCCCTGATGA